TCTTTTGTGTGTGTGTGACAAGATGACTTTCACTGACAAGATATAGAATTTACATGTAATTTGGAGTTGTCGGAACAAATGCAGTGTTTATTTCGGAGCAAAACTATGGTTTTTGAGTTGGAACCCTTGTTAATCTTTTTGGTATGAATGCAGTATATTCGGACTATATGAAGACGATATACTTGTGGAAGACTAGTAGTTGCAGTTGTTGCTTCAAGAAATAATCTGCAGACATGAATAGTAATTTGGTGCTCCTGAGTTTCACTTCTATCTCTCTTATCTTAGATTGTTGAATAAATTTTGTGATGTGAACTTGGCAAGTGTGCTCGTATTGCACAGAATTATCAGCAATCCCACTCCCATCCTATTCCATAGGTTTAGGGAACCTGTGGTATTTAAATATGAAATACATTTGATTTCTGCCTGAGTAAGGATAAGTCCGATATGCGAAGCTGAGCCTCACCCGGGCTATGAGGGGAGCCCGGCCTGTGTTGACTAATGTTGACTCGCTAAAAGTGTGTCAGCTATTGCTGACTCGGCTTAGTCCTTACCTGCCGTGGTGCCCAGCCACAGCAGTAACCTCCAGGCGACAATTGCAACTTCTCGCGCATGGGAGGGGCGCGCACCGCAGACCCCTCGGATGAAAGGCCAACACGTTACTACTGTACTAGCCTGGAGGCGCTGCCTGAGTGGTTAGAGTATCGGTCTCATATGAATGGAGGAGGGTTGGCGGCAGGAAGGGCATTTGGCTGTAAAAACAAACCAAGTCTATGACGGGATCATTCTGCAGTGGCGACCCCAGAGGGGAGAAGCAGAAAGAAGAAAATAATTTTGATTTCTGCCTAAAGTAAGATGAACAAATAAATTCTATAAGTTTGTCATATTTTGCTCACCCATACATATATATATATATATATATATATATATATATATATATATATATATATATATATATATATATATATATATATATATATATATATATATGTTATTTTTTATTATTATTATTATTATTATTATTATTATTATTATTATTATTATTATTATTGTTATTGTTATTGTTATTGTTATTGTTATTATTATTATTATTATTATTATTATTATTATTATTATTATTATTGTTATTATTATTATTATTATTATTATTATTATTATTATTATTATTATTATTATTATTATTATTATTATTATTATTATTATTATTGTTATTATTATTATTATTATTATTATTCTTTTACTCTAATCTAATTCAGAAATCATCTTTAGGGGGAACTACAAAAGAAGCACTGATATGGGCCAATGTAGAGTATGTGTTTGTTGACTGGCATTTGGTACTGGCTAAGAATTCAAAACAAATACTTTAATATGTAAGTAGTAATCCTGGCTACCCTTGTAGTATGGTGACCTCAAATTTTTCACTGAGGATCAAGGAGATTCCCCTTGCTGCTGGGTAAAATTGTCATGATGTGTATAGGCACCAGGCACCCAGTACAAAGGGGTTAAGGAAACAGTTATTTTGTGTTTAGTGCTATAATTGTAACAGAGTCTAAGTCAGAATGGGATCAGGAGGAAACAACTTGCAAGTTTTCCAGATGACTTATTTTTCCCAAGTAAAGTTTCTTTCAGATTAATGAGTTACACTTTCATGTGCCTATGCATGTTTGTAAAGCAGCTAAGGGATTTTAGGCAACCTCCTTCTCCCTTTTTCTTGTGCAAGTGTTAGGTAGTATCAGTATTTGTAAGGCTATGTCATCATCAACTTTGCATTTTTCACCTCAAGCAGATTTGAACCATGGGCACTGGGCATTTCATCTGTACCTTTTTGAGGTAGTTTATTGCTTAAATCTATGAGTAGTTACTTTTAGTTGCCAGAATGATACTGTGATCATACTCCAGTGTAAGATTACAGTGGGGTATATTTCTATATTTTTTGTGAAGAAGAATATAATATGTGTACACATAAAAAAGGAACACAACAAATTTAATAATGGAATAATAATTATTGTGTCTGTTTCTTTTTATCATGGGCTCTGAAATAATGCTGAAAATATAGCATTGCCATTCAAAACTCTGTATGATTTATGGATATGTTAATATTTGTGTCTTTTTATTTTTTGTAAGGCATTTGTTACAAGTCTTTTATGATATGTTTTTATACATTTGTCAAGTCAACTTTTATCTTAGATCATTATTATAGACATTAAATGTTTTTTTTTGTTTTGTTTCAGATATGAAGCAAGAACCATAAAAGAAAATTATGAGAGGCCCAATTCTCTTCCACCATAGAACTGGACTCACATATTGGTTGAAACATGAGTAGAAAAGAACGAGATTGAGATGTGAGAAGAAAGTCAAATCTATCTCTCGCAGAGGCTCTCCAGTTTACCTCACCAATGGAGAGTGATGTGGAGGAGGATTCCAGATACCTTGCAGACAGTGGGAGGAAGTCTTCTTCCCACAGCCATCAGAACAGTCGCAGCCATGACGGCCACATATCCAACAGGTCGCAAAAATCCCTCTCCCACACCTCAGCGTGGGAGAAGGACCATGCCAATCCAGACGAAGACTGGACACTCTCACAGTCCAGCTTGAAGTCGAGTAGTAGGAAATCGGACAGCAGAAAAAGAAGCAATCAAACCCCGGGGAAAAGCCGATACGGGAGAGCGCAGCAGAGGCAGGCCATGGAAGGAGAATTGGAAAAATATGCAGACAATGGACAGAGTAATGGAGATCAATTAAGTGTCCAGGAGGAAGCAGAGGAAAGCACTAATGACACGTCGATGGATGAGACCAGCTTCAGCACCTCCACCTACACAGACAAGGAAAATGGGAGCTCCTCAGAGCTTTCAATCGACCCTGTTGTTTGGAAGAAATTCAAGTTCCTCACTTCCATCCTCAAGGTAATGGTTTATGTAGAGCTTGATGTTATGCATAGGTGAACGTTCATTTCCATCACTATGTTTGTATTGATACAGAAAATATGTATATATATAATTGTTTTTATATTTATGTTTCTTTCTTAATTTATACCTAGAGATGTATAAATTTACACACGCACACATGCACACACACACACACACACACACACACACACACACACACACACACACACACACACACACACACACACACACACACACACACATGCGCACACGCACACACGCATATACGCACACACTCATGTACACACATGCGCGTACACATATACACGTACACACATGTGTGTACACATGTGCATACACACATGCGCGTGCACACACATACACACACACATGTGCATGCATGAGTGTGTGTGTGCATGTAAATTTATATATCTATATCTATGTGTGTGTGAAACACACACACACACACACACACACACACACACACACACACACACACACACACACACACACACACACACACACACACACACACACACACACACACACACACACACACACACACACACATACACAAAGTAACACTAAAAGTAACAATAGTGGTCAATAGTAAACACATCCATTATCTAAAAAAATAAAACAGATTTTTATTAGAAATGTCATTCTCATAATATTATTCATAGGATGCAACATGAATGGTTCTTTTTTTATCACAGGAAACACAGCACAACCTCAAAGCGATGGATGAACTCGTCCTTGAGCATCAGCACTTGCAGGAATTGACAGACCGTGGTGCAGTCCGGAGCACAACACATGCGCCTACTAATTACATTCCAGGCACAGAACAGGTATGAGAAAGGAAATACTGATTTGGGGTTATTTTAGTGTATATACTACCCGTACAAGTTGATGCATTTTATATATATATATATATATATATATATATATATATATATATATATATATATATATATATATATATATATATATATATATATATATATATATATATATAATGATTCATAGATATCATTTATGAAATACATTACAGGTATATTTATAGTATTAGGCTTAGAGAGAAGGTCCGTTGAACTGATTCCCCTGTTGTAGCTTTGCTGGTTAGAGTACTATTTGCATGTTATTAGACTTTTGAGAAATATCAGTTTGTATATACCCCTTCATGCTTAGTTTTTGATATACTTTTATGAGTAGTTATTGGTACATTTTTTGCTTTTGATAATTTAGACTGTAAGCATTATAAAAATGGCTCACCATCAAATATATTCTATGATATTGTTGGTGTTACATGTCCTTTCATGGAACAGCTGAAACTTATGTTTTTATCTTTGTTATACTTGTGTTCATTGCCAGAGTACTCATGCATCCTTTATGTATATTCTTTGTTCTATATTAGGTATCTTATGATATCTGTTTGTGAGGACGTGGAATAGAGTTTATTAGAATCTTTCTTTTTTAATATTTATTTTGTTGCATATGGTTACGTTATATATTTTTAGAAATGGTAATTTTTTCAGAGTACCTTCACATAACTGGTCACAACGATTTTGGTATCGATAGATTACTCTTACTCTCTGCTATCCAGATATACTGAAATTATGCCATGGAAACTCCCCAGCCATTAGTGACAATTTTGCCCCAATCGCAGGGGAGGGCATGAAAGGTACCAAGGAAATTGTGGGGTAAAATATGAATAATATCCACAGAATCAGTCACTTTATTGTGTAGTTTAGAGGGCTTTGGCCCTTGCAACCCCTCTCCTGGGGTGCTACATCCCTGCATTTAGTAGTATAAGGAGGCATTACCTTCATTATTGCTAATTTACCCTGAAATTTCTCTGGTAACTTTCATGTCCTTCCCTGCTATCAGGGTAAAGATTGTAGGGGTTTGGGGAAGTGCTGCAGCGTATTTTCTACATATATTCGTACTAGAGGGTGACAGGTATCCATTAATACCAAAATCGTCACAATCGTAATGCGAAGGTATTGTGAAGAATTACCTTAAAGAATGTATACCTAGACCTAAAGATTTGTTGGAATCTATTTTTTTCAGTTTGAGAGAGAGAGAGAGAGTAATTTTTCCTGTTGGTTATAATTTATTAACCCACTGCTGCTACAAATAGATGGCGCCACCAGTCCTTATTCATGAATTAGGCAATCACTAGTCCTACCCAGGTCACATGTTTACCATTTTTCTTGATTTTTGGAAATATTTTTTTTATTGGCATTAATATTGTTGAAAAGATCATATTAAACATAATGTCACAAGTAATGTTATAGCATTGGTATTAACCCATTCGCACCGGGCGTCACGTATACGTGACGGGCCCACTGTGAGTTTACTTGTTTGATTGTTTACAAACACAGATGGCTCCACTTGCACTTGTACTGCCTGTCTCGTCTGTTTACCCTTTTCTTTAATTTACAAAATTATTTTGCGTTATCTTATTTTGCTGTTACTAATGTTTATAACATTATAGTAATTATAATGTTTATAATAAAAATAACCATCGATATTCATAGCACTAGTAAAAATACATTTTCCTGCCAAATGAAATCAGGTAAAGCAGAGCTATCTAGTGTAGAGAAATTTCATTAAAAAATATAAAAAATTAACATAGTATTTCCCCCATTTTTTGTTCATTTTTACCCGGCGCGAATGGGTTAAGAGCATTAGAATAATAATAATTAAAAGTCAGAGAAAAGGGAAATCATATAAGGTCTTGTAGGCCTGTTAACTGATTCCTTGGTGGCTGAGTGATTGTGGAGCCATCTATGTGTAAACATTTCACAAAACAAAGCTACATGTTTCCAGTGGCAGTGGGTTGAGACCTTGATGCGTTAATGTCTTCTTATCAGTATGCCTGTGGCAAAAAACAAGGCGGTCATGTAAAAACTCCTAAAATAATGTAGTTCATGATGATAATGTTTGCAGCCAACTTCATTTACAGCTTACTTTCAAAAGTAACTTTTTGACTAGGCATTCATTAACCTCCAATTATTTTCACATTGATAGAATCAAATGCTTTATGTAGTCCTCCATTTTAGTCTAATCCTTTTGCCTTACAAAATAGTCTGCCGATGCATATGACCCCGTAGTACTCATGGCCTAGTAACGAATTCACCCGAACCATAACATGTGCAGGAGCTTGGTGACGGGGAACCTAAAACAGATGAGGCAAAGCTTGAGGAGATCCTGAGTCTGCTTCACAACCTTACGCGCACACTGTCATCGTATGAACAGCATCCTCTGCTGGTGAGTGCGTGGGATTTTAGATGCATGGATTGTTACTGATGCTTAGGTGTTGTATGTTATAGTGTGTATGTGGTATGTGTGTTAGTATGTATTTCTTGTGTTACAATATATAAGAATGTGTATGTATTGAGCTCTACCTCATATGCTTTTTCAGAAAAGCTATGAAATACTAGTATGCTTTCATTAGTAATATAGTAGTATTATCATTATTCCGAAGGTATAAAAATTATGTTCTTAATTTCTTTTGATTTTTCAGCTTGAGATTGTTGTTTTAGAATTTCATAGGTTAAACCAAAGTAATTAAAAAGACTTCAATTTAGCTTTTTTGAACTCAAAGATGAAGTTGACTTTTTCTCTTAAGTATTCTAATAGCTGTTAATGGTATGAAAGACTTCCTTATGAATATAAGAGTGGATTTTTGGTTTACTTCTGGTGGTTATAACAATATTAAGTAATTTATATATAAATGTTTTATTTAGTTATTTCTACTATCTCATGCTGCACCCAAGGTGACTAAATATTCTCTACCCCTTTTCATTCATGTTGATGTTTGTGATAGTTTATGGCAAACGTTTTTTCAGTAATGTTTGTAATAGATAATGACCAAAAGGCAGGGCTTAGCTTGACAATTGCCAGATAGGGTTTTCATCATGACATAGTAGAGCTACCTGCCTGGATTGCAGTCTGTCGTGCAGAATGTTGCCTCATCAGGCCTCAATTCTGGATTCCACTTCTGTGTACTTGTTGCGCAAGTAAATGGTGACCTCCCTGGAGCTGGTGCTCTTCCAGTCATGGTTCAAGGACACTACATTCCACATTTGTTTATTGATGGAAGTAATGGAAAAGTCCTTTTATAAATGCCAAATGAGTCTAATCATCCCCCAAGAGTCGTGGTGAATCTTTCCTGTCACCCTGGCCTTCAGCTGCAATGCTCTCAATGGCAAGTTTGCATCATCTGCCCCTCAAGCCAAAATTTTTCATCATGTGATAGTCTGCCATCCGGATTAAAGGGCTTAATAATTGCAACCTAATCAGTAACTGATTTATTGTTGCATTTTGAGATCTGTGTGGAAAAGTTGAGGAGAATTGCTACATATTTGTCCCTGACAGTTTATTTTTAAATGGTGGAGAGAGACAATAGCATTCTGAAATGTGCCATTTGTACATTATCAGCTTAGGATTGAGTATTTAAATGGCGGGTATAAGTGTGTGTGTGTGTACACACACACACACACATTTTTTTTCTTTCTTCCTTTCTTTCTTTTTTCTTTCTTTCTTTGTGGAAACCACTTTTTGATTTACTTTACATAAAGATTTAACAAAGTCTTGTGTTTAAGCAGTATGAGTATAATTTTTCCTTACTTCTTATTTTTTAGATTTCCTAATGGTACTTGTAACTCTTTCAGTCCTGTTGTCATAGTCATGGCTAATGCCACAGTCCTATTTGTTTTGCGTGCAGAAGGCCTGTCAGAATTTTATCTTATGAGATATTTATATATAGTGTGCACAAATATATTTAGTTACGTTTGGCAAGTTTCCTTCACCTTGAAAAATGGTAATATAGCAAAAATGTATCTCCAGGATAAGATCTAATTGCTTTGCAAAAAGGAAATGGGGGAATCTTGATACTGCATGTGAGTGTTTGTGTTGGCTGTGTGTACTATCCACACACCTAGGAAAGTCCCTCTATAAGTAAGCTTAATGCCTTGTTTTGTGGTCCAAGTGTCAAAGTGATGTACTTAGATTCAGTGGGTTAATACACATTTTAATGTTTTTTTTTCTAATTAGATATTTGTGTTATTTTCATATTTATATAAATTTATTCCACTTTCATTTATATATGAAGGGTAAAAGTGATAACTTTTTCCACTTTGTGCTCCACTGACACCTGTGTTTGACACCTGTGTTCTGGTGCATAAAATTGAGGTCTTCAAATGGCTGCAACTAAAAAACCAAAATTTACTTCAGCAAGGTTTCCTCTTCTATGGCATTGAGGTGTTTTAATATTTTTAATATTTTTAATATGTTTTGATATAGTATTTTTAAGACACCTTCAAAAGCATATTAAGGGACTATAATTAGCATTAGAATTTACAGAGGGTGCATTGATATATTATTATGAAAATTGTAAGTAATATAAGAAAGAGAGGAAAGTTGAGGTGATATATATATTTTTTATAAAAAAAAGTAGAAAATAGAATTCTTTAGTATTTACTAGCTGAGAATTTATTTTTAGTTAGTTATATATGATGTTTCAATTCATGATAAATAAACATTATCTTTCAAAAAAATTTATTTGTTGAAAGCTAAAACAAAACTAGTAACAAGTGGTATGTTGAACTTATAAAAGATTTGTCAATTCCTTTTATCTTCTCTCAACATTGAAACTAAATTCTACAAAAAAGACCATGTAAAAAAGTACCATAAATCTAGAAGTATATCAATTTTACATATGGTCAGTCCTTTACCATTTAGTAATATCCATACCAAGGGTAGTACCCCAGGGGCCTATATCCTCCATATCCCCCAAGCCCACCATAGTGCCCAAAGAACCCCCCCCTCACTCCTCCCAGGAACCGACCTCCATAGAGTCCCCCTAGCCCACCACCAATGCCTCCTAACAGGCCATGTCCGTAACCGCCAAACCCCCCATACCCATAGAGCCCATGCCCATAACCTCCATGCCCATATCCCCCATTACCATAACCATACTGCTGCTGGCCATAACCGTGGCCATTCTTGTGCTTCTGCCCATAGTCACTACCATATGCATGGCTGTACTTGTGCTCATAGCCCTTGCTGTAGCCCTTGGCATAACCTTGTTGAGTTCCTTGCTCCCCGCCGTAGTTGAATCCTCCATGGCCCTTGCTCCCATAGCCCCCTAGACCTTTGTAACCCCCATAATTGTTGAAAATACCATGGTCTCCAAAATCATTGTAGCCATCGTATGCGAAGTCATCTCCATAGAGTCCCCTTGCCTGTCGCACACTCTCGGATGTTTCAAGCTCCTCTCCTTGCACCTCCTCTACCTTTTCATTGGTTTGAGATTTGAGTGTTTGTTTATCTGTTTCTAATTCTTTCTTGGTTTCACTTGTAGAAGAAGTTGCCAAATCAGTACTTTTGTCAGTGGAATTTTTCTCAACTCTGCCATCGCTTTTCATGGTGGGATTAATTTTGTCTTGTGAAAAGAGTTTGAGGGCACGTTCAGGGGACAGTATGGTGACTTTTGTGCCCACCTCCTCTTCAGATGTTGAAAATTGGCTGACGAAGTAATGGTTGGGGTCATTCTTCGAAGAATTGGAAGATATGGCATTAGTCTTCAGAGGGCTTGCAGTTATGAAATGACAATGAAAAAGTGTCACAGATAGGAGGATAATCTGAAAATATGAAAGATATTTTAGACTCAGTGTTAATTTTATATTGGAATATTATTTCCTCTATGCAGAATAAAGGAATTAGATTTTTTACTACTGTATTAATTCAATTGACTGTACATTGGTAGTTATTAGAAAAATCAATAGAAGATATTAATACTTATAAGTTAGTAATTTTTACCTTGAGCTCCATTGTAGAAGTGACTGTAAGGACTGTCAGATAAGTGACTGAGGAGCCATTCTGGAGAGGTGTCTTTATATAGAATAACTACCCTTTAATGCATGATGTGGCAAATGAGAGAAACAATGTGGAAAGTCAATTTTTCTGTAACTTGGGTGGAGCTGTACATTGTAAGATGTGAAAGAGTGAAAGTGATAATTTTGGGTCAGGTCTTTGGGATGCTAATATCTTGAATGATGTACTTTGCTTTTATGAAAAGTAAGAACATTTCATCTCAATTTATATAGTTAACACATGCAGTAAAGACTGGGGTGATAATATTTTATATGAAAATAATGATGCTGAAAAGATTTATGACAGTGATCATATCATTTTGCAAATATTTATGGTCAGAGAAGTAATTTTTTTTCCTGCTCCTTAAGGAAAATGACTTGCACATTTTTAGAATGTAGAACTTCCGGTTTCAAATGTGATGAGTCATGTAGGAGGTATGAGAGCCTCACTTTTGGAGAATTTACCCATGTGTGATTCACGATAATTTCTTTATAGATGTTATAAGATAAATTATGTAAGAAAATAATTATATATACACATTTGCCATACTTTATATGAAGGAATGCATCAGAAATAAGACAAAGGGTTAAGGAAAATGGAATAAAGGAAATAAATAACTGAGGATAATAGTAACAATGAAATTTGGACAAAGAGACAAAACCAGAGAAATCACAAAATAGATACAACTTTTTTGCTCTAGTCTTAAAGATTGAACTTGTACTTAAAAAAAAGAAAAGAAAAAATAAGGAAGCAAAGAAAAACAAGACATGACGAAGGGACTAAATACCCATTCTCTGTGACATAATTACCATAACCAGAGCAAAAAAATAAAGGGAAAGTGCAAGGTTATCAGTGTTAAAGCCTCTGGCCCCCTTGCCTCCTTTTCTTCATCTCTCGGAGCTCACACCCACAAGTCGGAGGTATTGTCTCCCCGGGTGTCTTTGTTGAGGCTGAAAGACACTTCCTTTGGGACCACCACCACCACCACCACCACCTCCTCCTCCTCCACCTCCACCACCTCCTCCTCCTCCTCCTCCTCCTCCTCCTCCTCCTCCTCCTCCTCCTCCTCCTCCTCCTCCTCCTCCTCCTCCTCCTCCTCCTCCTCCTCCTCCTCCTCCTCCTCCTCCTCCTCTTCCTCCTCCTCCTCCTCCTCCTCCTTCTTTTATTGTGGTTTCTTCCTATTCTTGTCTTTTCTTGTGGTTTCTCCCTATTCTCGTGATAATAATAGTAGTTAAGGATAGTGGAAATGGTATTGATAAATATCCACATCATCATCACCATTACTATTATTCTTTCTGTCATTATTATTATCATTATTATCACTATCATCATTATCAACATTATCATTATTATTATTATTACTATTATTATTATTATTATTATTATTATTATTATTATTATTATTATTGTTGTTATTATCTCTATCATTGTTATCATCATCATTATTATTAATATTAATATTACATTAAGATTAATATTGATATTATATAAATTTTGATATTGATATTAATATTAATTAAAATAATAATATTAATTAAAACAAGAATATTAATTAGAATATTAATATTAATGATATTAAAATCAAAATTATTGATATTAGTCTCATGTATATTTATATGTGAATTAATATTAATTAATATTAATATTGAAAGTACTCTTACTATTAATATTAATATCTAAATTGATATTGATATAAATATAAATATTTAAATTAATATGAATGTTAATATTAATATTCAATATCAATATTAATATTTGATATTAATATTTAAACTAATATTGATATTATTAATATATGAAATAATGTTAATATTAATATTAGTATTCATATTTTCAAAATGTTGATATTGATATTGATACTTACATTAATATTAATATTAATATTGACATTGATATTGATATTGATATTAATATTTCAGTAAATATTGATATTGATATTCAAGTTACTATTAATTTTAATATTGATATTTAAGTTACTATTGATATTAATATTGATATTTTAATTGATATTAATATGAAACATTAATATTAATATTATTAATAATAAATTAGTATTTATATTAATATTCAATTTAATTGAGTTGATATTAGTATTATTGTCATTATTATTATTATTATTGTTGTTATTATTGTTAATATTATAATTGTTTATTTATTTATTTATTAATTACTATTATTATTATTTTTGATTATTTTTACTATTATTATTATTTATTATTATTATTATTATTATTATTATTATTATTATTATTATTATTGTCATCATCATCATGATGATTATTTTTGTTAATGATAATAATTATAATAATATTATTAATATTAATATTAATATTTGAATTAATGTTCAGATTTGAATTAATATTAATATTAATATTTGAATTAATAATAATAATATTTAAATTAATGTTAATATTAATATTCAAATCAATATTATTATTAATATTTAAATTAATGTTATTGTTAATATTTGAATTAATATTATCATTAACACAAATATTAATATTATTGATAGTGAATTACAATTAGTATTTATATTAATATTTAATTAAATTGAATTAATATTGATAATATTATTATTATTATTGTTATTGTTGGTATTACTGTTAATATTATCATTATTTATTTGTTGTTTTTTATTTATTTGTCATTATTATTGTTGTTATTATGATGATTGTTATTTTCATCATCTTCATCATCATAATTGTTATCATCATCGTTATGATCATATTAATAATCCTTATCATCACCATCCTCAATAGTTATTGCTGTTGTTGATTATTGTCAATATTATTGTTTTTATTATTATTCCTGTTGTTGTCATTGTCATTATAGTCATCAATCATAATCATCATCATCAATCATCAGTCATCAATCAGTCATCATCATCATCATCAATCAATCATCATCATCATCATCATCATCATCATCATCATCATCATCATCATCATCATCATCATCATCATCATCATCATCATCATCATTTCTAAAGTTATGCTTGCTTGCTTATTTATGTATTTATTTATTTATGATGATGAATATGATTGTTATCTTCATCTTTATCTTCACTTGATCATCACCATTATCATTATTATTTTCCTTAATCTTACTGATATTATTTTTTATTATTATTATTGCTTTGGTAAGTAGTTTTCATTCTTCTCTTTTTGTTTTCTCCTTATCTCTAGCAGTACTTTCCATTTTTTGCATTATGGCATGAATTTTATTTGACATCTTTTAACAAAAGGATTGTAATATCTTTCAACAGGCTACTGCACAACAGCCATCAGACATTTCCCTGAGAGTGCCACCGGGTGATTCTGGCCAAGAGCCACAGTATTCCAGCGCCGAGGCCAAGGCACCCAGTAGCCAAGGCTATGGTTCTCACAACCTGGATTCCCATACCTATCGCTTACCAGAGCTTGGGCAGTCCTCTGATCAGACCCACCCTCATTCGTCTTTGCAACACGGATACCAAGAGCACAGTTCTCCTTCGAAATGTAATGATTTTTCACTTAGATTTGATGCGTCTAAAGATATTGATTATCAAGATACAGGTTCCAGATATGATACCTCAGTGCCCCATGCACTTCCGCAAAGGTTACATGTTAGTAACAATCCCACGTACACCAATGTTGGGATTCTCAGCTTGGAAAATGGTTCAGGAGCTCTCCCTCAGTCATATTCTTACCTGAGAGAAAGAGAGAGTGAAATCCCTGTGAATACAAGTGATGACCATATGGCAGCTCACAGCACCAGCCATTACCTCAGGACACCTGTAAGGGATTCCATAAGTCAGACTGACTATGCCTTTTCAGGAGCTAATGTATATGAATCTTATGAGCCAGGTAACTTTGCTGGAGCATACCAATCAGAGCAGAGTAGTAGGATAACAAGTAGTCCGAGCCAAGGAAGCACAAGTCATCCTCTCACCAAAGAAACAAGATCATTGAGGAAAGATATTAATGATATTGTTCTGAGGAAGCAAGCACTGGATTCACGTCTGCAGTCGCTCATTGCTCACCGTGCAGTACAGAAGGAAATGGAATGGGCACAGGCATCCAAGTCAAAGGATAAGAGGCAGCTTGCAAGGAGCCAGAGTCTGGAGGATGACAGTAGGAGGCTGAAGGGAAAATTGAAGAAGTATAGAAGTAGAAGCAAGAGTCAGGAAGATGAAGTAGACCCTCATAGCAGAATGTCATCATCTGTTAAGGACTGTTATTTGAGCATGATCAGTGAAGATCAGGATGAGTTTCCAAGCTTGCAGATGGGGAGCCTGGAGAATGAAGAGAAAATATCAGAGCTTAGGAATGAAGAGGCAGATTTACCAGGTCTAGGCGACAGTGGATTAAGCAGTGAAATAAATTCTATTAATGCTACCATTCAAGAGCTTGTGCGGGAAAATCAGCAGCTACATGAATTCCTGCAGGGAATGACTGTTGAGTCTATTGCAAAAGTAGACCAGGAGAAAATAGAGCTAGAAGCCAAGATCCAGTCACTTAATCAAGAAAATGAGTCTTTAAAGATTATGATGAATGGGAACATTGAAGAAGAGACAAATACTGGTGCAAAAAAGAAGCATGAGGGAAAGGCCGTTTCATTCCTTGTTTCAGATGACAGTGTGGAGAAGCTTTTGAAAGAACATGAGATGGAAAGTGCTCATGGCCAAGAATTAGGTAAGAAGTCTCCAGTGTTAGAATCGGAACATGTTGCAAGGGAACTCTCAAATATTGCTGATTCTTCACAAAGGGGACAAGAAGCACCTGTGGATTCCCAGGAACATTCCAGAAGAATAGCATTACTTGAAGCACAGGTCAGCGAACTTACCAGGCAAAACCAGAGTCTCGTGCACAAGATTAGAGAAGAAAAGGATGGAGATGCTAGTGATAAAGATGTACAAAGTGATTATGAAGAAACATCCTCCAGGATTTTAGAGTTGAAAACCCAAGGTGCTGCAAGTGTGAGTGTTACCAGGGAAATAGAGAAACTTCAGAGGAAAATCAACAAACTCTTGAGAGAAAAAGATGACCTAAACCATAAACTCAACACAGAAGCAACTGAGAGGGACTATGAGCATTCAAGACTGGAAGCAAGAATTAGGATTTTGTCAGAGCAAAACAGGGTATTAAGTGATAAACTGGATGAACAGAAATCAGCCTCAATTGGAATAGACCATGGCAGCTACCATTCTGATCAGATTAAGAGTCAGAATGACTCTAGCGTTGCTATCAGTCTGAATCAAGATAAATTTGAAAAAAGTACAGATGAAAGCAAATCTGCCGTGAATATGGGCACAACTAGTTCAAGAGAAGTAAGTTTTAAAATAGATTTTGATTTGGATAACCTTACAGAGGATGAACACAAGTTTGAGTCAAAGGTTGGCTCAAAATCCTCTTCTTCCAGACAAGTTTCTGAACATTCCAGATCAAGAAGTACTGAATACAGTTCTTCCAGAGGGGATGCAAAGCACACGCACTCAAGGGGAAGTGCTGATTACAGTAGTACCAAAGAGAGTTCAGAGTACACAAGATCAAAAACAGAGCCTGAGTACAGTCATACAGAAGAAGCTGAGAACACTAGATCTCAAAGGAGTGCAGATTATAGCAAGAGAGATCCAGAGTACTCTTCATTTACAAGAGATTCTAAGGGTATCAAGTTGGATGAAGTTGATCACAACTCCTCTGTCAGGCAGTCGGAATATACTGAATATAGTGCATCATCTAGTAGAAGTCATAAAAGTGACAGGAGTACCAAGAAGAGCACAGCATTTGATGAAAATGATGAATATAGTCAGGTTGATGATGATTCTAGTACAAATATTGAACATAGTCTCCATACTGAAAATGTTGATCAGTCACTATCTCAGAGACTTTATTATAAACCAACTACATCATCAGAAAGAAGTGAGAAAACCTATGGAAATGAATCATATGATAGGAAAAAAGACAGCTCTCCTGAAACTTCACATAATAATCAAAAGAGTAAAACTGATGAAGTAAAACCATACACTATCGTGCAGCCAGTGAATGATCCCAAACTGACTTCACAACTTGAAGAGTTATTAAAACAAAATGAAATGCTGATTTCCACAGTCAATGCTATGAAAGTCACAACTGTTATGTCTGAATCTAGTCTTGGGTCAGCAATGAGACAAATTATGGAAGAGCATGAAAAGCTCATGCAGAATATAGAGGAGAAAATAAATCATGCTAGGGTTTCTGGTGAGCTGGATGCTGAATCTAGGATGAACAAATTATTGCAGGAAAAACAGGTATTGGTGATGTCACTGGAAGAACAAAAACACAAGAATGAATCACTTGTAAAACAGAATGACCTGCTTGAAAAGAAACTTCAACTTGTCAGAAAGAATAGCAAGGAGTCATTGAATGCAGACCAGGAGACTAATGAAAAAGATAAGGAAGTTGTGTGTTATGTCAAAACACCACCTACTCTTTGCATAGCATCAGAGGAGATGGATGCACCCTATGACATTGAAGTGGACTGTGAAATAATAGAAAGTTTCAAAGTATCTGAAGAGATTGTGAATGGAAGTGATGACTTTAAGAAGAAAGAAATGGACAAGTTTCAACAGAATAAAATGGGAGAAGCCATAGTTAAGGCTAGCTACCACTCAATGCAAAGGAAAGATGCATCTAAAAGTACAGACATGCAAAAGCAAGTGACAAAAACAAAAGCGGATTCGCAGAGCAAGGGTAGCAGCAGACGAAATAGCTTGAGTCTGCCGTCACTTAGTCGAAGAGGGTCCCAGACCTCGACCTTAAGGATCCCGAAAAGCGAGGATGAAGAACACGAGGAGGAGCTACAGGATGAGCTGACTGAGGGATTGATTCATCTGACCTCAAGGAAAGAAGATGAGAAATGGGCTCAAGTGCTAGAGCAGTCAGGTGCTTTGTTATAATTGTTTTGTTTTATGTGACCTGTCATTAGGCAGCTCTTAATGCTGTAACTAATATTTGATATTTTATCATCGTCATAGCTATCATTATTAGTTTATTCCAAGAAAGGTTAGTTTGTGCTATACATTTTGAATAGCATTATTGTATTAAAAAAATTATTGCCTGTGTTTCTTTGAATTAACTCTGAAGGTTTGTGTTACAAATATCCATAACTCATTACAGAAGAGGAAAAGCAAATTCTTCAAGACAGAATTAAGACTCTGGTGAATGAGAATGACTGTTTGGCATCACGGCTGGAGGAGGTGATGGGTGTGTCACGCAACTTGAGCGACCAGATGCATTCTGCGCGGGAGGAACTTGTTAAGGTTTCGGCAGAGAAGGAGGATTTGCAGAAGAAAGTTAGGTCAGTTTTGTAGTGAGTTTATAGGATTATTTATGGCAACTTTTGAGTGTAGGGAATAATTTAAGTGGGATTTGTGGTATCATTAGGCTAATTATGATATAGCTATGATTATGGTCTTTTGCCTTCAAGATTAATGATGTTTTGAATTGGTACTTGAAAAAATTCTTATATATTGAGGCAGTTACCTGTAAGATAATCAGATATTTAAAGGAATTCATAAATAGATATAATTATTGTTACCTTGTTTTCTTCAAGACAGAATTAAGACTCTGGTGAATGAGAATGACTGTTTGGCATCACGGCTGGAGGAGGTGATGGGTGTGTCACGCAACTTGAGCGACCAGATGCATTCTGCGCGGGAGGAACTTGTTAAGGTTTCGGCAGAGAAGGAGGATTTGCAGAAGAAAGTTAGGTCAGTTTTGTAGTGAGTTTATAGGATTATTTATGGCAACTTTTGAGTGTAGGGAATAATTTAAGTGGGATTTGTGGTATCATTAGGCTAAATATGATATAGCTACGATTATGGTCTTTTGCCTTCAAGATTAATGAATGTTTTGAATTGGTACTTGAAAAAATTCTTATATATTTGAGGCATTTACCTGTAAGATAATCAGATATTTAAAGGAATTCATAAATAGATATAATTATTGTTACCTTGTTTTTTCATATTAGCTATATTTTTTGCTGAAAGATTATTTCTTGTCCATGCAAATCATCAAGACTACCTTGTCTTACAGATCACTTGAGGAAGGGAAGGAGGATAGTTCACTGAGCTTATCAGAGTCTCTTGGGAGCTCGAGACTCACACAGCGCCTTAAGGATCGGATAAGAAGCTTACAGGTGTGCAGGAAATACAATTTGCAGGATAAGAAGCAAATCTGTTTTTTTTTATTATTTTTTTCTTTGCTTGTAATACAGAAAAATTCTAAGAAAACTAGTGCTATAACGTCTTTGGCAGCATAAGTAACTGCATATCAATAATACTTCTAGAAAGTAGTTGATAGGGTAAAATTTTGAATAAAAAGGAGCAAAATTAGTGTGTATTAGTGCATATTGCTCTTTCTGTGCTGATATCTGAATCATGGTTAGGCATCTGGCAGCTGTGAGTTTTTAGCCGTGATATGATGTTACTTGGTGTCAAAGGGTTAAGAGGGTTTCACCTCAGAAAACGGTACATAAACAGTGCTAAAACAATGATACTGACATGTTACTCAAGCAGCAGAGCATATACAACACAGTTTATCTGCATGCACTCTGTCCAAATAATATTGTAGCTCAAATAGTTTTCATCGCTAAGCTGACAGTTAGCAAGTATCACATCAGTTATCACATACTTACATTGTCAATGGAAGTGTTAGCCCATAATATTTATCATTATGCTAGTGCATCTTTGCTCCAGCAACAACAACGAAAGCAAAATAAGTGTTTTAATTTCTTTTATTGTATTATGCTTAAATTGTTTCCAATTGTAAATCCTACAGCAAAAATGAGAATCAGAAATGGTTGGTGTAAGGTCTCTGGAATGCCAATTCACTCCAAAAACTGTTTTTGTCACACATTAAGAATGAAAAGGGTATTTTATTTCCTTCTTTATGATCTGGAGCAGTCTCCACAATTGTTATAAAAATTAGCATTTCAAATTAACATGTTTTGCTTGATTTTTGGAGATATCTTATTTAATACTGTTGTTAATAACACTAATAATTATAATGTTGATAATAATAATAATAATAATAAAAAAGTTTTGCCAAAAACTCAATGAAGCGTGAAATCAGGTGAGGGCACATAGACTATTAATTAACTCCTTGATGGTTCAGCACTTGTGGTGCCATATATTTGTAGGCACATTTCACAAAACAATACTACAGTGAATATCATATATTCCTGGTGTAATTAAGTTCAAGTTGAGGAGGTAAGAACACATGTTCAGATTAAGATATAAGGTAATAAGCAGGTCTAATGATTTCTTAGAATAATTATACAATTTAATGAAAGATATTGTTCAACAGGGAGAAGTTGAAGGGGCGTGGCAAGAGGTCCATCAGCGCACAATAGAAAGAGACAAAATATCCGCAGAGAGAGAGAGCATTGAATACACCGCAAGCATTAATCTTAACAGTGCAAGGAAGGAGGTAAGCTGGAAGCCTATTTTAATTTTTAAAAGCTGAAATTGCATAAGTTGCCCAAAATTCCATGTCATACGAACTCTCTGCATTTTAGGTCGAGTCATTAAGGAGCCAAATTGCCATGCACCAGCAAGATTTTGAAAGGAGGGCTATTGAGTTAACAAACACAAAGAATGAACTGGAGAAAAAGTCTTCGGAGCAGAGAATTCTTCTGGAGGATTTTGATGTCCAGAAAAGGAAGCTACAGGAACTGGAGAAGAAACTGGTGGATGTCGAGAGTTCCTATCGAGAGTGCCAGGAAAAATTACAGATTGAAATAAGAGAGAGAAAGGTATAGTATATTGAGTATAATACATGGAAGCATAAGAACCATAAAACCTGTTCTTTGTTCACTTACCTTGCTGCCCTTCTGCCATGCTGCATATCACATAACAAAATGACATTCTGCAATTTTCCATATATACCACAGACCACTGCATCAGATCTCTTCTCAGGTGTTCGGCCTCAGCACATGTACTACTAACTAAACCTTGTTCCAGAGAGCTGAAGAACAACTAGAGGAGACCCTTCAACGTTTGTCTGCAGGGTTGGAGAGTGAGAGAACGAGATCGAAGGGAGAGAGATACTGGCAGGAAGCTGTGTCTAGACTAAAAGTGAGTGATTATATAAATAAGAATTAAAGAAATTAAAAAAAAAAATTCTCAACATTTGACCTAATATATGAGAAGATAAAGGAAAAACGTTGAAGTAAGAAAGGCGTATATTTATTAAACTGAAGGAAATACATCATATTGATATGAATATGTGTACATTTTTTTTCTTGCTCTTCTGCAGCTTTGGACTGATATCACTTTAAGTATGAGGAACAGAATGTATCACTATCAAGTGATTGAGGACAATAAATATATACTATTAATAGCTTTCCTCTAATATTTTGAAAGAGATGTATTAGCATTTTTTTATTTTCAAAATGTGTTGTATATGTGTACAAATTTTATTGAACTGTATGGCAACAGTGAAGTGAAAATGTTGCACAAATTTGGAAGAGACTCCTCCTTTTTTCTTTATTTTTATTTTAACTTGGTACTGTGGTATGTCTATGGATATATTGTTAATAGATGTTGAATTCTGTATTAATCTTTCTGTGATGCCAGCTGCACTAGAACTCACATACTTCACCCTAAATGTGATTGAACAGTTTACAATTCTACCCTGCTGTCTGTTGACTGTCTGAAGCCTGATGATGAGGGGTTCCTAGAAAAAAAAGAAAAAGAGAAAAGAATTATTTAAATGTAGTTTTATGTGCTGATAACCTAGATTATGCATTATTATTGTAGAATATCTTTTGTATTGAAAGTAGGATAAGCCAGGCCAAAAATAAGATCCAAGTTATCCTTTACTATCACACTGAACAGTGTAAAAGGTATATATGTAGAGATTGTTTGTATGTGATTTTTGTGGTATAGATTTAGAATACTACAAGATCAACAAACTAACTGATATGTTTTCTGAAGTTGAGTCAAAGGAGCCTTTTCTGTCACATTTTTCAGAGCCAGTTGCACCAGGAACAGCTTCGTTCACGTCTTCTGGAAGCGGCTGACCACGAGAACTCAGCACGCATCCTGGTTTTGCAGCGCAGCGTTCGTGAGACTATTGAAGCTCATGAAATTCTGCAGGTTAGATATGTTCTGATTTGCTTTTGCTTCTTGTTTGGCAAGCATGAATTTTGCAAGTTTATTGATAGGTTGATGAACCAGGTGGGTGTTTTTTGACTTGTTTGCTTTCTATGGAAAGATTACATAGATTTAAACATTTTACTCTGCACTTTTACAAGTCAAGTATGGGTTTAAAATGCATTTCTTAGTATTCGGTAATTGGTATAGTGACTAATGATTGAATGGAAGGCGATTATAATGCTATATTTAGTCATACTAAATTGCTTGTTGTAGAAGCATTCCAAAAGCATATACAGGAATTTTAGGAACCTTATTAGCAACCTGCTTGTGCTATTTCAGGCATTTAATATAAGTACATTCATTCGTTTCAAAGTAAAGGTTCTAATGGGTATTATCAGAGGAGGAAAGCAAGTCTATACTACAATGGATTATATGCTCTGCCTTATTCCTTGGTCTAAACTTGATTACATACATGCTCATCCATCTCCTGTAGCTAACTTTTCTCCTAAAACCTTATCTTTTCCTGAAAGATATTCAAATCAGTTATTAATAACTAACAGAAAAACAGAACATTTCATTATTTACCTGAAGTAAAGTTAGACTTTCACCGAAACTGTTTTCTCTTTAACCCTACCCATTGGATATAAGCTTTCATAATATAATATTCTAGTGAGTAAAATATGTACTTAAAATTCAAGCTTCATCATTCTCAAAATAAGAAAGACAAGAATGTGTGTTCAGTTCTTTTGCATACATAAAAATTGTTGTAATTAACCCAGTGCTCCTGGGTTGGCTAAAATGCTGTAAGGCCTTAACCACTTGGTGCCGGGTGACACCGATTGGCGTGCAAACAAACTGCTCGAAAGCTGGTGTGCGGCTGTATGTCGCGGCGGCGCGCCAAGGCGCGGCGAGCCAGTGATTTGGGCTGATGTCCTCTACTCGCGCGCTCAAAGTCGGCACGCTGCCTTTATTTGCTAGAGTGTAGAATGTTTTTTTTTTTTTTTTTTTGTACACCCGGCGTCATTGGGTTAAGCTATAAGACTACAAATAAACTTGGTGATGCGTACCAGATGTAGGCTGCTGGCATGTCCTTTTTCATACCATATCAGCAATGCCCTGGTTTGTGCCTTTATTCAGATGTGTAAGATAATGAGTTCTTAGTGCTAGTTTTCAGCCTAAATTTTTGCAAAAATAACCCGTCACCACAGTGTATTTTCTGCATGATAGAAGGACCATAAACTGTGATTAATGGAGATGATGGTGGCATGATGCATGTATCTCTTATAGCCAGGCACACCTATAACTGTCATGAAAAATCTACACATCATGGCGAGTTGATCGGAAGGGCTGCTGTATTCAGGGTATTCCCTGGCAGAAAGGCTAAACAGTTGCTAGAAGTCACTGGGATGAGTGACACAGAAATTTCTAGAACTGTCAGTGTTGATTTTGTTTGCATAATACCATAGAGCATGTGTTATTGGCCATTATAATTTATGTAAAAGCAGGTAACCAGGTTGGTTAATTTTATTTTTATTTATTTTTTTAGTGAGTTTGTGGATGCATGTATTTACAGTAAAGAGGCACTAGAAGATATGGTTGATTTAGTGTTTTCATAACAGTTAATAGTTCTGTAGTTTGCATTTTTACAAATCATAGTGATAGTATTACCCTTGGGTGAATATGCCTCTCATACTATTTTTATGATAAAGAAAGGATGCTTTTGACATGCTTCTCAGCATTAGTCTGTAATACACAATATTTTTAAAGAAGAGAGAGAGTGTAACAAATGGAGAGTAGATTCCATCTTTTCTGACATTTTTTCTATCTTGTCTCCCTTTTTCATGATATCAAGTAACCAAATTCTGTAACTATGAAAATCATTCACTTATGACAGATAACAAGGATGGAATATTACTAAACTTGCTCTTTGATATTCACCTTAATATCTTACAGTTTTGACTTAAGGAAAACAATATCACTGGGAAGTTCATTTGTAACTTCATTTATTGACAGTGGAATTAAAAGTTGTATTGTTCTGTCTTTCTGAATTCAAATTGAAATATAACTGAAAATTCAGAGTGTAAGAGCAGTGATTAACCCGAAGATCCTGGGAAAATGTTGTGTTCACTGTAGTGTCGTTTTGTGAAATGTCTCTGCTTAGCCATAAAGGAGTCAGTTAGTAGAACTTGTAACCTCACTTGATTTTTCCTTTCCTTGAGTTTGGAGGAAAAAAAAAACTTTTTTGCTATCATATGCTATCAATATTGATGCTGTTATTTTTGCCATAGACTCTATAATCATTGTAGTGTTATTGGCATTAATAACAGCAATATAAGATACCAGAAAATCTTTTCCAAAATCAAGGAAAAGGGTAAGCAAGTGAGGCAGGTAGCACTTGGCATGTATGTACATTCCATCCCTGGCCACTTGGGTTAATAACCACTGTATATTTGTTCAGAAAAATAGAAAAAGATCAATGGTGTATGTGAATTGATATGAGAGAAAGCACTAAAATTTCAGCATATTCCTGGTTTGTTTATTTCTTCAACACATAACTGGGTATGGGAATTCTTGGTGTTTCATAGGTGATTGCTTTAAAATATGAGAACTGTATTGTAAGATTCTGTAAGATCCTTAGTCTGCAATAAATTATTTTAGAGGAAAAACTATTTGGCTAGGTTATTGTCTAGCACTTTTGGCATCCGTTCCCATTGCTCTGTAGGTAAATATTCTGTGTAAAGAGCTTATATTATTGCTGTATTTCATTGTGTTTGCTCTTTAATGGAAGATTACAGTATTTGATGGATGAGACTTTGAGGAATATCTAGAATCTGGGTTAGAGAATCAAATCCTGTGGAAGCTTAATTGCAACTCCCCAAACAGTATAGAAACATAAAGAAAGTGATTTTTTTTATCTCCTTTGTGGTTACTGATATCAGTCTGAAAAGAGAGATGGTACAATTTTTTCCTTCAATTCATCTTTTTCTCTGTATTTAATTGTTTACTTGTTTTTGTTTTTTTTCTCTAGCAAGGGCTAGCTATTTAAAGTTTTTTTATTTATTAGCTTTGATATGGATTCTATGACAGTCCGTGCTATATCCTGTTGTATTTAATCTGTGCAAATGTAAATAAAGCTAAAGGTAAGAATTAAAAGTCAGACCTCACTCCCAAGTGTACAGCCAGCATTAGCATACTCACTCTAGACTCTCAACTTAGGCCAAATACAAGCAGCTTCGTACTGCTTATCGTGCCAAAAAGACGGACAAGACTCACCGCAGAGAACTTTCAGAGCAGTATTCACAGCAGGTTAAGGAGCTTGGTAAAACTTCGGCTGCTTTAGAGGACAATTATAAGGTAAGACTTGGTTTACCATTTTTGTTACTCTTTCTCTTTTTATTCAAATTTTCTGTTGTTCTGTTCTGTTGTACTCCTCCTCCTCCTCTTCCACCTTCTCAACCTCCTCCTCCTCCTCTTCCTCTTCCACCTTCTTGTCTACCTCCTCCTCCTCCTCCTCCTCCTCCTCCTCCTCCTCCTCCTCCTCCTCCTCCTCCTCCTCCTCCTCCTCCTCCTCCTCCTCCTCCTCCTCCTCCTCCTCCTCCTCCTCCTCCTCCTCCTCCTCCTCCTCCTCCTCCTCCTCCTCCTCCTCCTCCTCCTCCTCCTCCTCCTCCTCCTCCTTTTTCACCTTCTCAACCTCCTCCTCCTCCTTTTTCACCTTCTCAACCTCCTCCTCCTCCTTTTTCACCTTCTCAACCTCCTCCTCCTCCTTTTTCACCTTCTCAACCTCCTCCTCCTCCTCTTCCACCTTCTCAACCTCCTCCTCCTCTTCCACCTTCTCAACCTCCTCCTCCTCCTCTTCCACCTTCTCAACCTCCTCCTCCTCCTCTTCCACCTTCTCAACCTCCTCCTCCTCCTCTTCCTCTTCCACCTTCTTGTCAACCTCCACCTCATACTCCTCTTCCACCTTCTTGTCTACCTCCTCCTCCTCCTCCTTTTCCACCTTCTCCTCAACCTCCTCCTCCTCCTATTCCACCTTCTGCTTCTTCTCAACCTCTCCCTCCTCTTCCACCTTTATCTCAACCTGCTCTTGCTTTTGCTCTTCCTCTTCCTCTTTCTCCTCAACTTCTTCTCTTCCACCTTCTCAGCCTTCTCCTAACCTCACCCTCCTCCTCCTCCTTTTCAACCTCTTCAGTTGCCTCTGTTTCACCTCTTCTTCTTCTTCCTCCTCCTTCTCAACTTCCTCCTCCTCCTCCTCCTCAATTTCTTCCTTCTCCACCTCCTCCTTCTCCTCAATTTCTTCCTTCTCCACCTCCTCCTCCTCAATTTCTTCCTTCTCCACCTCCTCCTCCTCCTCAATTTCTTCCTTCTCCATCTCCTCCTCCTCCTCCTCAATTTCTTCCTTCTCCACCTCCTCCTCCTCCTCAATTTCTTCCTTCTCCACCTCCTCCTCCTCCTCAATTTCTTCCTTCTCCACCTCCTCCTCCTCCTCAATTTCTTCCTTCTCCTCCTCCTCCTCAATTTCTTCCTTCTCCTCCTCCTCCTCAATTTCTTCCTTCTCCTCCTCCTCCTCAATTTCTTCCTTCTCCTCCTACTCAATTTCTTCCTTCTCCTCCTCCTCAATTTCTTCCTTCTCCTCCTACTCAATTTCTTCCTTCTCCTCCTCCTCCTCAATTTCTTCCTTCTCCTCCTCCTCCTCAATTTCTTCCTTCTCCTCCTCCTCCTCAATTTCTTCCTTCTCCTCCTCCTCAATTTCTTCCTTCTCCTCCTCCTCAATTTCTTCCTTCTCCTCCTACTCAATTTCTTCCTTCTCCTCCTCCTCAATTTCTTCCTTCTCCTCCTCAATTTCTTCCTTCTCCTCCTACTCAATTTCTTCCTTCTCCTCCTACTCAATTTCTTCCTTCTCCTACTCAATTTCTTCCTTCTCCTCCTCCTCAACTTCCTCCTTCTCCTCCTCCTCCTCCTCAACTTCCTCCTTTCTCTCATTTTTTTTTTTACTTCTTTTCCTTTCTCTTTCTCTTCCTCTTCCTTTCCACTCTATGTCTCTATCTTCCTTCTCTGTTTTCATCAATGTTGAATTCATTTATAAACGTTTTTGCTTTTCAGCCGATGAAAATGCTTATTTCTTGAGCTCCTTCATTTCTAGTAACGTCTGTGTGAGTCTAATAGATGTTCAGTCACCCCTTGCCCATTTTATGCATGGTTCTGTCTGGTTAAGAGGTACAGGTTAAGGACATAGATCCATGAAGCCACTAATTAGTTTTGTTTTGTAATAACGACTTCATAAAAAAAGTTCTGATAAATAGATATTTATTAACAGAGAGCATAAGTGTTTTTAGCACATTTAGGAGTTTTTAGATTATTCTTTACATTGATATTTGCCTGTTGGTTATTTTTTGTTCTCAAAGTCATAATGGGAAAATAAACAGGAATAGTAGTGCTAGTGAATTTCGAAATTGGTAAGGTTTAGCTCAGAATTTTACCAATTATTTCTCTATGCAAAGTGGAGGCAATAAACAGTTGTGTGCAGGGTTGCTATATTAACAGCCTGTTTTCTTACTACACTCTCCGTCTTTCCTCTTATATAATGTAGAAAGGTGAAAATATTACGGTAGTTGTTACTATTTACAGTAACAGTAACTGAATCAGAACATTGCTGACATCATTGCTGACATAAATAGAGAAAAGTTTGCAAAAGCTGAGAGGGACAGTATGTGTATGTGATTGTGACAATTGAGATTTGTAGCTTTAAAATCTAAGGTCACCTTTGATAATTAACCTGCTATGTTTAGAATTTCCAAATACCTAAGTATTTTGTGTTCATGAAGTTTGACACAAAATATGAGCACAAGCATGTACAATTTTGTGTAATTGTAAATGGCTGTTTGTCCAATAAATTAGAAACCCATGGGACAGTGTGCCTTATAGATGTAGTTGGCTACTAATGGAAGTTCTGAGGACTCATTTCTGCTAGTGTGCAACACATATAAATGGTGCAGAAAAAAAAATGCCATCTTGTAATCCCTTTAAAAGCCTTTTAGATGGAAGAAGGGCATATTACAGTTAGGTCAAGGCAGCATTTCTGAGTATACCAAGTTCTCCATATTCAGATGATCTCAATTAAGGAATTGGGTTCAGCAGTCTAATTAAGAAATGGGACCAAGTAATCTTATTATCACTCTTTTCCATCTCTACCTCTCCTTTGAAGATGATGCTGTCGACACTTGGAGAAAGCATAGGCATCACAGTGGAGATCCTGACATCCCACGTCTTCCTCTCTCCTTGCGTCGTCCACCCGAGCCCTGACATAAGACTAGATCTGGAGACTTGGTTTGAAGCTCAGCAAGGGAGGCTCAGGTATGTTGATTGTGTTGTTATGTGTCAAGTGTTGTGTGTGCTGAGACTTGGGGATACTCGTAGATATGGTGTGCGTGTGCATGTTTGTGTGGCATCAGAGTGCAGGTGGTGTACAAATGTATAGGTGTTTTTGTATCTTTAAATGTGAATGTGTGATGTCCACATGGTGTGTAAGTGAATGTGTGTGCTGACAAGTGTGCATGTTTGTCTCTGTCCAGGTATGTTTTAAATGTTTATGTTTTTTATTTACATAGATTAAATAATACATAAAGAGGAATAGAGAAAGAATTTATATATAAAAACAGTTACAATCTATGAATCTTCCTGTATTGAGTCTAATAGTAACAATATGAATAGGTCATTCATATCAATTAGTACAAAATTATCATATGCAAGATGAATTCCTATGAAAAATATCTCAAGCATTATTAGAGATACTTGATTACTCTTAAAAGGATTTAATATTTTAAATTTTAATTTGTTATATGTTGCTGTTGTTTCATGAATATAAGACATTTACTCTTTTCAGATGGCTACAAACACAACTTCGGAAACTTTGCTTGCATAATTGGAAAATGGCAGATCTCCCAAAGACTTCCAACTTCAGCATTGGAAAGAGAACAAAGCCCATTTCAGGGTCTAGCACATCAGAAACATCAGGTGATTCAAATATCCAGGTAAAAAATGATGGAAGTTCAGAGAGCAAGTCAGATTCAAGTTCTGGATACAAGACAAGGAAATCGTTAAAAAAGAATTTGTATGATCTGTCCATCTTGGATGAAACCATGTCTGACAGTAGTATGCCTGGTCAGAAGAAAGTTGGTGCTTCTCCTGCAATTTCTGCCTCAGGTGCTTCATCAGGCTTTGCTGCTGTTTCTGATACAGACAGGAGAATGGCCAGGCAGGGTTCCCAAGAGGAAAATGCACAGGACTCTGGCAATACATTTGTATCATTTTCATTTGTACAATCCAAACCTGCATTCAGTCCACCTATGAAGCCACTAACTAGTAATTCTATGAGCCTCAGTGAAGTGGGTCGAATCCTCACTGACCAACAGAGGCAGCTCACCCGGGCAAAGTTCCACCAGTACAAAACGCTAGTCTCCAACCTCCAGAGAGACTTGGAATTCCCTTTTACATCGTCTCCAAGTGTCCCTTCCTCCATGATCACCACACCCGAGAGAATCAAGGAGCTTTCTTGTTCCACCTTTGGCGATGAAGAGCACTCGGGAGACGTGGAAATGACTCTTTCCGACTCGCAAGTGTCGTCGTCAAGAACCCTCTGCTCCCTGTCCCAAAATGAAGAATCTGCTTCTTCAAAGCACTCCAAGGAATCATCACCTGTGCTGGAAGAAGTTTCACAAACATCTGGCAGTTTATCAGGTATGTCAAAAAGTCCATACTCCTGGAACAACACCTGCCTGGAAAGGAATCCCTCCACTTCGCCATCCTTACGCCCAGAGCTCCTGCAGGAAGACGTGGAGAGCTTCGGCATGGTAAGAGACATTGATCCGTCTAGTGCCAGAGCCAGTGCCAGCGACAGCAATAGCCTACCTGGAATAAGGGATGTAACCAAAGAAAAGCAAGCGTCGGGTGTGGATGTGGATAAAGATCATGACAGTATGGAGGAACTGGATGAAGAGGAGGACATCATCAGGATCTTTGTGGAAAGTGAGGTTGTTGATGATGATGATTTAGACTGACCTTTACTCTCTCTTTGAGAACATTAGTAAAGGTTTGTTTGAAGTCTAAATGACAAGGAAACCATCTGTTGTGAACAGATGCATAGAAGTATTTAAATTTATTTACTGATTATCACTTTCAGGAAATATTTTTTTGGTATTTAATTTTATGGTCTATTTATTGATGTTCAGATTATATTTATTAATTTAAAGATAACAGAATTGTCATGTTCTGTAATTCCTTGAGTATTATATGCATTTGTTTCTTGAAGCCATTGTTTGTTATTAAGAGGATTATATAGTATAGATAATTATATGTTCCTTTTGCACAGCATTTGTATTTATTTGACGAATCTGATTAGTCTTTTACGCACAGCCAGTATAGTAAGTTACAAACAGAATGTATTAAATAGTATGTATAGGAAGAATCTACATGTTTCTTGACAATCACATTGCATTCATTATCATGTGTAAAAAATACAAAAAGTAGATTTATATCTTTAGATTTTTATGTCTATGCATTTTTTCAAAGGTGGAAGTTTGTGAATTTTAGGTCATATTTTATTTCACCAGACTGTTTATCAGTAATTATAAGTGATCTGAGAGGGACCTGAAAGCAAGAAAATCCGTCCATTTTTGCGATCCTGTCCATGGCAAGCTGTGACTACAGAAACTAGTTTGAAAAGCCTCTTAATAAAAGTGTAGTTTTGTATGGATTACATATACTGAAAAGCTCATTCATTCCATTGCAGCTATGCATTATGCCAATATGTAATAGTCTTAGATTTAGCTCATTTATAAGAAAATTTCCCTTTTTAAGAACATGAGTGTTTGACAAACAATTGTTATACCATAAATAATGGTAATGTTGATTTTCAATCAGCAAATTAAGGGCATTTAATCTTTCACTAGAAAGATAGTTTTAAAATGTAAGGCTTCCATCAATTTGTGGCATCACAGGTAATGAATAACTTCATCCAAAAATGATTTACCAGGGTAACGTGTACAACATTTTTGTAGTATTGATGTCTTAACCCTTAAAGGACACTCCATCTCATGATCTGATGCAGAATTTTTTACATATTTCCCCCAACAAGTACTTGTGTCAACTCTGATTCAGTTTACACTAAAACTGAATTGATTTTTGGAGTCTGCAGATCAAAATCTACTTTGAGCTCCCTGCAGGAAGGACGTGGAGAGCTTCGGCATGGTAAGAGACATTGATCTGTCTAGTGCCAGAGCCAGTGCCAGCGACAGCAATAGCCTACCTGGAATAAGGGATGTAACCAAAGAAAAGCAAGCGTCGGGTGTGGATGTGGATAAAGATCATGACAGTATGGAGGAACTGGATGAAGAGGAGGACATCATTAGGATCTTTGTGGAAAGTGAGGTTGTTGATGATGATGATTTAGACTGACCTTTACTCTCTCTTTGAGAACATTAGTAAAGGTTTGTTTGAAGTCTAAATGACAAGGAAACCATCTGTTGTGAACAGATGCATAGAAGTATTTAAATTTATTTACTGATTATCACTTTCAGGAAATATTTTTTTGGTATTTAATTTTATGGTCTATTTATTGATGTTCAGATTATATTTATTAATTTAAAGATAACAGAATTGTCATGTTCTGTAATTCCTTGAGTATTATATGCATTTGTTTCTTGAAGCCATTGTTTGTTATTAAGAGGATTATATAGTATAGATAATTATATGTTCCTTTTGCACAGCATTTGTATTTATTTAACGAATCTGATTAGTCTTTTACGCACAGCCAGTATAGTAAGTTACAAACTGAATGTATTAAATAGTATGTATAGGAAGAATCTACATGTTTCTTGACAATCACATTGCATTCATTACCATGTGTAAAAAATACAAAAAGTAGATTTATATCTTTAGAGTTTTATGTCTATGCATTTTTTCAAAGGTGGAAGTTTGTGAATTTTAGGTCATATTTTATTTCACCAGACTGTTTATCAGTAATTATAAGTGATCTGAGAGGGACCTGAAAGCAAGAAAATCCGTCCATTTTTGCGATCCTGTCCATGGCAAGCTGTGACTACAGAAACTAGTTTGAAAAGCCTCTTAATAAAAGTGTAGTTTTGTATGGATTACATATACTGAAAAGCTCATTCATTCCATTGCAGCTATGCATTATGCCAATATGTAATAGTCTTAGATTTAGCTCATTTATAAGAAAATTTCCCTTTTTAAGAACATGAGTGTTTGACAAACAATTGCTTTACCATAAATAATGGTAATGTTGATTTTCAATCAGCAAATTAAGGGCATTTAATCTTTCACTAGAAAGATAGTTTTAAAATGTAAGGCTTCCATCAATTTGTGGCATCACAGGTAATGAATAACTTCATCCAAAAATGATTTACCAGGGTAACGTGTACAACATTTTTGTAGTATTGATGTCTTAACCCTTAAAGGACACTCCATCTCATGATCTGATGCAGAATTTTTACATATTTCCCCCAACAAGTACTTGTGTCAACTCTGATTCAGTTTACACTAAAACTGAATTGATTTTTGGAGTCTGCAGATCAAAATCTACTTTGAGACCTGGAGATATGACATTCATTTTCCACAGGAGTTACAATCTGCCTTGTGTCCTTACCCGAGTGTGCCTAACTCTAGTAAATATGTTCTTTAGGGGTTAAACAGTGTTTTCTGGAGCTTCCCATGCAAGAAGTTTTAGTGTGTGATTATAGAACCTCATTATATAGAGCTAGTGTTTTATTTTTTTATTTTTATCAGCTATTATTTTATTTTTGGCCTGTTTTATAAGTATCATTAAAGCTTATGCTGTAGGTAGAAGAGTTATGATACTCCCAGTGATTACATTGTGTGGTATATCACTTTACTTGATTTGTAAAAGGAAGAGATTAAGGATTGGTTGGAAATTTACAAATTGTTAGTGAAGTTTGTTGTAAAAGTTTGGACAGAGATAAGCCCAATGTACATTTATTTTGATGTGTTTTGCATCACCAATATCGCAAACACTGGAGTGTTTCAACATTTGTACAACAGCTTACTTGTCCCACAAATTAGTCTAGTCTAGACAACAGTGATACCATCAGTATAATTCTCACTTTTGGGAGTGTTGTAAAGTATGCCAGTGTTATCTTCCCAGATATACATGTAGTTTAAGGTTTATAGCATTTGAGAAAAGGGCATTATGTAACTATAACGTGCCATTTTTAGGAATTAATGTCTGGTAATTACAGCATGGCACAGTAAATCTACCAAGATCAGTCACACAGGGTACTGAGAATACAAATTTCTATAATTAGCAAATTTATTTGTAGACAGTTAGAGAAATAACTGAACTTTAAAAGTAGCAAAAATATAGAGCTGTTAATGAGTCAAAATTGTTAGTATTAGGAGACACCCATTTTTTTTCTCAAGACATATTCTATATATTTTTGCATGTATAATTTGTCTTATTGCTTGAATTTATTTGTTAATTTATAAGCTAATTTCAAAAGTTAGCAGTTAATCTCAAGAGAACTAAATGATTTTGGTTTCAAGTACGAGATAACTTTTCGGCCTTCCATGAACCAGGGCTTTCTGGAGTCCTAATGTGCTGTTTTATCTACTGCCAATTTGTGTCACTTTCTAGTCCATGAAATAAATATGCTTTAAAAGCGGGAATTTTTACTTCCTTCATGAAAATTATATGGAAAGTTATTGTAAACTGGAATATATACGCATGCATACATACGCATGCATATATACGCATGCATACATACGCATGCATACATACGCATGCATACATACGCATGCATACATACGCATGCATACATACGCATGCATACATGCGCATGCATACATACGCATGCATATATACGCATATTCATATACACATATTCATATACACATATATACATCTATATATATGTATATGTGTATGTGTATGTGTATGTGTATATATACATATATACACATCCCACATACACACACACACATACATACATACATACATACATACATACATACATACATACACACACACACACATACACATACACATACACATACACACACACACACACACACACACACACGTACATACACACGTACATACACACATACACACACACACACACACATATATATATATATGTTACATTATACATATACATTATGCATATACATACACATACAATAGTGCTTGGAAGAGTGTTAAGTGTGGATATGTAGTAATGATGCTGAATGACTTATGCAACATGGAGATCTCTACTAATTTATCAACTGATAACAATATCCCACAGAAAAAGTAAAAAAAAAAAAAAAAACCCTCATAATTCACACGGAAATTGTAAATATCTTTTTATTACCCGGCAACTAATCCTTGGAAATCAGCAGATTTTAGTCATAAATTACAGGCCACTTTCCGATCTCCTTGGCCTTGATCAACCTCGGTCTGATCAGAGTGAACGCCAGGGGGGGGGGGGGCGCAATATTACAACCTTTACATGAATGGACTCGATTATGTTAACGAACAAGAAAACGTTAAATGTAAGTAGTTTTTCTTCGCTGCATTTTTTTTGTCTTATTATGACTTGCTAAGACGTTGGTGATAACGCATTTTCACGTTTTTTTTTTTTTTTTTTTTTTTTTTTTTTTTTTAAGTTATCACATAAGAATAAGGTGAAACGTGAACCGTATTCATGTTCAAAGTAGAGATGATGATAATAATGATAATAATAATGATAATAATAATAATAATGATAATAATAATGATAATAATAATGATAGTAATGATAATAATGATAATAATGACAATACTACTACTACTACTACTACCACTAACAATAATAATGATAAAAAAAACGTGTACGTGGAAAAGATACTTATTAGTTGTGGGCGTAAGGGTAATAAGAGGAAACGCCGATAACGGGTGATTGTGCGTATTTGTTCTATCTACTGATGAAGTTGCTGGAAACTATTTGTTCATTTGATTCAAACTACTGAACTGTAAATAACGAATCGGACTGATACTTTATACAGTACAGCAAATAATAACGGTAATTATTATAAGAAATTAAAAGTGATTATGTTATCAATATTATTATTACCATTTTATGAACGACTTGAACAGTGATGCTGACTATAAGGAAACACATTCGATTTATACATGAGAGAATTTGCATTATCTGCCAAAGGAAATGGATTTCAAATATATTTTTTAATGATTTTCCTTACTTTGGCGTAACTAAAATCATAATCAATAGCTACACATAAAAAAAAGAACAAAGTGAATTAAATTAACGAACACAACTATACTTGAGATAACACGACTTACCAAATACTTTCAAAATACTAATTGTTTATTTTTGTCTTTAGGCCTATCATGCCCGACTTCACAATAAAGTTCTGATTGTGCCTGAATGAAGATTATTATGATAATCTAACGTATCTGATAAAAAAAATTCTGGTGTTTTACAATAATAAAAAAAATCCACGAGCTAATGGCATAGTATACTGATGGTTATGCGCGTTATATGGAAATCAATAAAAATGAAAAAAATGGAAGGTTTTTAATTTTTTCTACAAGAAATGTAATATAAATGAGAAAAAAATCAATACAAATTCTTGCACAATATAAGCTAGCATAAATCCAGAATATTAGTCAGATTTATACTAGCTTAAATTGAGCAAGAATTTGGATAGATACAAAGTACAAAATAGAAAAGAAATATCCTATCGTCCTATTTTAAGCGTATGATGTAAAAATGTTTATGGAATGTAAGTTAGCAGATTATTTACAAGTACAAATTTTTAAACTTTGGGCAGGAACATAAATCATGAGAGATAAGAAATGATAAGCTTATCTGTTGCTTAAAAATACCATCTCTTGCTTTATCGTTACACGCAGAGATAGAGTGAGCGAGAGTGAGAGTGAGAGAGAGAGAAAGAGAAAGAGAGAGGAGAGAGAGAGGAGAGTGAGAGAAAGAGAAAGAGAGAGGAGAGAGAGAGGAGAGTGAGAGAAAGAGAAAGAGAGAGGAGAGAGAGGAGAGTGAGAGAGAGAGAGAGAGGAGAGAGAGAGAGAGGAGAGAGAGAGAGAGAGA